GTTTCCGCTGCAGCCCTTCGGTTTTGGCAGCGCCTGATATAGCTTGCATCCTGATCTGCGCTGATGCAAAGTTGGGGTAGGAGTAGCAACAGTAAGCCAGAATACTTTGACCTCAGGTTCCGCAACCGCGATGGTGACGACAGCTCCTGCAGCCACTCGGAGAAAACCTCTTGTTTGCATGATGAGACTAGGATGTTGGGGGCTGGATGTGGGGTTTAAAGTTTGGATAAGGGCTTGAAAATCATGGGTGATGAACTCGAGACTACGGTCTAGCTATCCAGCATTTCGGTGTGATTGTTCGCTTCCAAGAGATCGTGGCTTTTCTTGCGAATCTCCTCTACCGCCCCGCCTACTGCAAGCTCATTGGATTATTGCTGCCTCGAAATGGCACACTTTTCATGTGGAATAATTTTCCACGGAAGACCCTAAACCCTAAACTAGAATCTAAACCCTAAACCCTAAACCCTAAAACCCTAAACCCTAAACCCTAAACCCTAAACCGACCGTCTGGTACGGATCCTGCGATGCCCGGCAAGAGGCGGCCCGAATTGACGAGTGATGGTGGTGAACAGAAAGAGGGTTTAGGGTTTAGGGTTTGGGGTTTAGGGTTTAGGGTCTAGGGTTTAGGGTTTAGGGTTTAGGGTTGCATATTGCTCATGGTAGAAGCGGTAAAGTTGGAACATCATACTCCTCATGCCCTTAAGCTGAAGTATAAGGGATTCTGGCAGAAATCATCCTAAACTGGGTTGTCTTTTGGGATCTTTTTTAATTTCCCTTGCTATTTTGTAGAGAACCATGATAGTAAATAATTTTCAAAGGGCTTAAAGGACAACTTAGTAAACCCCTGTTCCAACTTTCTGGGTTCACTGTAGGGTTCCTTCGTCTAATCAGCCGGCGGTCGCTGACGAAAGGACCCTTCCTGAGCCCCTAAACCCTAAACCCTAAACCCTCAACCCTGAACCCTAAACCCTAAACCCTAAACCCTAAACCCTAAACCCTACCTTCCTGAGCACATCAAGCAAGCCGCAGCCTGCTCCACAGTGTTACAACCTCAATGCATACGCGTAGCTTTCTAAGTTAGGGTCCCTTTTAGGGTCTAGGGTTTAGGGTTTAGGGTGTAGGGCCTTTTAGGGTCCGTCTTATAAGGCTGCCGTATGATATTGGGGACCGAAAAAGGGACCCTAATTTAGAGAACTACCCATACCTTGAACGCGCAGAAAGGTAACAGCTAGACCCTTACTTTACCTAAGCCCTATAAACCCTTAACCCCTAAACCCCTAAACCCCTAAACCCTAAACCCCTAAACCCTAAACCCTAAACCCCTAAACCCCTAAACCCCTAAACCCTTAAACCCTTAAACCCTAAGCCCTAATTACTAATGAGATCTCAATCGCTCAGTCCGAGACTGCGGAGCCCCGACTTTTGAGCTGAGGCTGTGGCGAATTTTCCGCGGTTGGGTCTGGAAGACTCTGTGACTTGGCATTCCGGAAGTGAGTTTTAGGGTTTAGGGTTTAGGGTTTAGGGTTTTAATGTTTAGGGTTTCAGGGTTTTAGGGTTTTAATGTTTAGGGTTTTAGGGTTTAGGGTTTAGGGTTTCAGGGTTTAGGGTTTAGGGTTTAGGGTTTAGGGTTTATTATAGGGTTTCGTACGTCTCGTTCTCAGGGGTCCTAGAGCCCAGAGGCCGGCTCTGTGAGCATTTCCGAGTCGAATCCCTCAACCCGAGCTTCTGAGTGCCTGTACCTTGAACCTACCTTAAAGGGTTTAGGGTTTAGGGTTTTAGGGTTTAGGGTTTAGGGTTTAGGGTTTTAGGGTTTAGGGTTTTAGGGTTTTAGGGTTTAGGGTTTAGGGTTGCTTTAACCTACCAAAACCTACTTGTTTGTAGGTTCTTATTATAAACCTTACTATGGAATTTACAGGGGCCCTACAAAAAAGTAGGCTTTGGTAGGTTAAGGTATAGAACACCTATACCTTCAAAACCTTTCATAGGACCCTCTTGCTTCTACCCTGAACCAGAAAGGTGAGTGTGGCCACAAAGAGAGCTGTCACAGGCCAGGCACCGGTCCACTAAGAGGGACGGGCTCGGCCGCTACAGAGGCCAGTATCATCGGAACAGGGTTCGCGGGCTGTATGTTAGTATTGCGATATGGGGGTTTTAAGGATATGGTTGCTAGCTATACACACCTCGATGTACTGGATCTATCTTGTACAGGAAGTAGGGTAGAAGCTAGACAGTCAGAGCATCATGCACATGCCGTGAAGGCAACCTAAATGAATCCTTGCACCAGTTCGGGATACTATTGCCAATTCGGAGCCTCTGCTTTATTTCGAGCTTCGGGCATGTGATGCATTATGCATGGTTCTGTATTTTTTTTGAGCCGCTTCCCTGCAGCAGGTCAATTGCAGATGTCTTCTCCATCGGAGAGGATGCGCTGAAGCATTGGCAAACCGCGGATGACGGCTCTTTGCTGGATGGACTGGTGAACGTTGAAAGCGACGATGTCATCAGCAGAATGCAGGACTTTGTGCACTTTGTAGCGTAGTTAACTCTAGCTTCAGATCTCCCGACTTAGGCCCGGATCTTACTCGTGCCCAAAAGCCACCCTAAACCCTATCCTCACCCCCAAACCCCAAACCCTAAACCCTAAACCGTACCGAAAATTGTCACAGAAGCGAGACGATAACTTGCGTTTTGCAGGTTTGTATCATAAACGGACCAAGGCAGGGTTTAGGATGGTTTAGGGAGCGGAGGTGAAGATCATAGTCAGAATACTCAGCACTCAATCTAGGACATGTTCAGGTGTGTAGTTACCTTTACAGGAGCCTTATAGAAGGTCTATATACCCTATAGAAGCCTTTTAGAAGCCCTATATACCCTAAACTCCCCACCTGTAGTTTCCTTTAACTGAACCTGAAAAGGCAAAACCTCGATGCCTTGACTTCTCAAACGCCAACACCCCCTTAACCTCCGGATCGGGACTACCAGCAGTCTTTATCATAAGAACCTACAAAAAGCATGTTATGGTAGTTTAAGGTAGACCCTAAGCCCTAAACCCTAAACCGTAAACCCAAATC